GAAAGAAACCCCAGTGCAACTTCAAGATTGTTTTTTACACCTGTAGCCATTTTAGAAATGAGTCCAAGCGAATGAAAGAGCCTCACAGTCTTAGAGAGTTGCAGAAACCCTCCCTCCATCTTTCTCTGTTTATTAGAATTTGGTATTGTCTAGAAGGACATTTTCAAAATATGTGTAGATTAGGGAGCAGTTTTAATCTAAGCCTGGGGCTAAATCAATTTGCAGGCTCAAATCAGTTTTATCAGTTCCAAGCCCTTCAATATCTTTTATTTGGCCCTCTACATCAGTTGCAAATTTTTGCCATGTTGAGTAAGTCTCTGGAGATCAGTGATTCTACATGGAATTTCCCACCACACTGGACCAAATCCAGAAAAGGTTATTGAAAATAAACTGCAACCTGGAACCAAACCCGAGACATTGGTTCAGATCCAGGGAATCTGGAGCAGAACGCTGAGAAGGCACAGGAGAGAAGGGAAAGTAGTAATCTGAAGCTCTAATTCTGGTCCAAGTCAAACGAGGACTTAAATTGTCTCCTATTTACACCAAAATAGGTCCAATGAAGTAAAATGAAAGCAGCTGCAGGTATAAAATTAGTGTATATTAAGAGGGAAAAGCTCAGGTTTAGCGTGCTTAATTATGTTCTTTAGGATTAAAAATCAATTTAAAAATAGACTGATACCATGAAGATTGTTCACTTATGATTAAAGTATTCAAGTTTTATTACCTGAAAAAACAAGATTATATTCCATATTAGTCCAAGTACCAGAGAGGAATTTCCATCTGCTATTTCTGCTGCATCAATGCTAACAAGCTTTACCTGTAGAAGAGATCATAAATTCAGAGCCGAATTCAAAGCAAGGTAAATGCAAAAAACGCACTGAGACTACTGGATATCTCCAGAACACTTCTGCCACTGACTGGCCAGCCAAAAAGCAAGACTGAAATCTTGTGTTAATGATAATTTGCCCTGATCACAACCACCCTGCTCATTGAACTCTTATCTCAAGCCCCCAGCATAGTCTGCAGAACAGAAGTGAGCCCCGTTCTGCATCCTCAGGACCACAAATGTGTTTCCTCCATACAAAAATGGAACAAGATGGTGCCCCCTCCAGTGGATCCTGTTCTTAAAAAGTAGAGTAACTTCTTGTACAAAAATTAAAATCCTAGTAAGATCTGCTTACTTCTGTTTTGCTATGCATCTCCTTTCTCCTTGCTTATCTCACCTTACACAGCTTGTCACAGAGTTCCGATTAAATCAGTTAGCAAAGGATAGAGTTGCCTAATCCAAGCAAACTCGACTTTCCCACACTGAGGTTTCTTCCACCTGATAGCACCAGGATGTTATTCTCTTAGACAACACAGACTTGGTTTTGGCAAAGGTCATGGAGGAGGGAGGAAGCAAGGAAGCTGTCAGTACTGCACATGGCACCCACACTGAGTTAAAGCCCAGCATACAGCCCATTTATCACTTAGAAATCCGGTACATGATGAATCACTTAGCAGCGCATTACCCTGCTGCCCCAGTTCCACAGAAATGTACGCTGATAGGTTCCACCCACTGTGGTTTAATATCTAACCCTGAAGTTCTTGGCAGCTAAGGCAGTTTGCCAACACTTTCATCACCACTCTTTACTAACTGGTTTGGTTAAACTGAAAAAAGGAAAGCAAAATAACTTTTTATCTAGTGGTTCGCACAGCAGTTTTTAATCTTAGCAAGAAGACACCTCTAGCTGTCATGTTTCAAGGCTCAGACTTCTTGCTAGCTCCAGGGTACTTGGCATGGGAAAGCCTTTAAGACCTAGTACATTTTAATAGCACTTTCTCCAAAATGGGGAGCAAGTGGCATTTAACATTAGACTGCTCTCAGTGTCAGCTGTCCTCTTACTGCTGCTTGTGTTTGTCACCCAGCCCAGTAGAGAGAGACACCTGGCTATAAGATACTGTCTACTTACTCTTAAGGAAACAAGAAATCCATAGAAAAGTAGGTGTTTTAGCACTACTAATTAAAAGGCCATCTGTGTCCAAGGCTACTCCTGTCTGGCCTTGCTCATTGAGTTTCCAGGTTGTCCCCTAGCAAGGTCCTGGCAACCAGATGTGCTTCAGCTGCAGCTCTGCAATGCGTTGATACCAGCAGAGAGAAAAAAAAATCTCATCTGCCAGTGGGCCTTAGCTGGATTTGGGTAGAAGGCATCAGCTGAGAAACTGTTAAGAACTCTGAGAACTTGTAAAATATTTCTTAGCAGTTCTATAGCAGGACATGTTGACGTACACGTTTAGGGACAGAGCAGCCCCTACTGGTGGACTTTCCAAAAGGAGACTGGAACACCTGCAAGTTACCTGACCACTTCTTGACCTTTCACACCCTCTCCTGGGGAAAAAGGCAAAGGAGGTTAAGCCTCCCACACCTACCAGGTTGTAAGAGATCCACTAAGGCCTCACATCATGCCCATTCCTGCACTGGGGTTGCCGTGACTCTCCTTCATGACTAGCACTGCTGCAGGATCTCTGGAGCAAGAGCTAAGCTCATTGGAGGGAAGCAGCAAAGTGCCATCAGTTGCTGTTGTGGCATTCCACGCAAGGCAGGGTTTTGCCCCTGTGCACACACCAGATCCCCCCTCACCCATAAAGTTTAAACCCTATGGAGTACTTGCACCCTGGAGTCAATAGGATCATCAATTACATTTTCTTCCCAGATGGTATAGTGGAGAAGTTGCAAAACTTTACTTCAGATACTAGATAAAAAGATCTTTCAGTACAGCAAGAATGCCGCAAGTCCTTTATGGGACATAGTCCAATATTAGTTTTCTCTTTCTGAAAGATCTGGGTATACCAGGTGTATGAGTTGTGATACGGCTGGGACTTCTCTTGACAGCATTACTTCTCAACACTTTTCAAAAGCAGAGAGTTTTCAAGACACAGGCCACATCCATGGGGCTTTGGAATAAAGCCCTAATGGGATAAATCAAAACAGAAAAAAAGGATTGAATCATTTCAAGCGGCAGGGTCTGATCTGATTTGGTCACTTAAAACTTTAGGATGTGATGTTGCAACAGTGCCACACTGACTACTAGGGAAGTTATATCCTTATAAGGGTTTGATTCCTGGAATTATGCATTTGTGTCATGTTCCCAGATTTCATTTTCTCTTGCCTTTGACTCATGATCAGCTGCTGCAGCAGTTTACTAGATAAATACATGATTTTTAATACAGAAAGTATCTCTGATGAAAGGAAGGAAAGTCATCTACCTTCAGCATAAATGAAGTAATGCCACTAAGACCCGGTTCATAAAGATTACTTGCATTTCTTTTTGTTTTCTTTTAATATTGGGTTCCTGATCCTTTAATCCTGTTGAACTTTTATATCATAAAATGAACAAATAACCCTTGTTTTAGACTCTGTAGGTGTTCTCGTTGTGCATTTTTATGTGGCTTTTCAGCCTTGCTGCTAAGGTAAGTCACAGTGCCTTTAAGTAGTGCATTCCTATTATGTACATGCAGCGCATCAGACTAGTTACAACAATTACAGTTTGCAACATGTATCAAGGGGAGGTATTAAGACCAGCCTTTGGAAATACTCACATTACTGTCCTCCAAGAACTTAAGTGCTTTGGCTATGTTGTTCAAACGAAAAATGCGATGGGTTGAAGATTTGTATTCGTGCATCTAGAAAAAATAAGAGATGTTTTTAAAAATGGTGGAATTATTCACCATGTCATACAAAGCTTAAAAAACCTGCAAATAGAGAAGCAAAATAAAGCTAAGGAAATCTACCTATATAAAATTACTTCCATCTTTTCTGATCAGTAAGGTGCTTCAACTACATGATCTGCCCTTCCTGTAGCAAAACAGGGTGAGCAACCTGCTTTCCCGCTCTCCAGATGTTATCACTCTCTTGGACCTGCCACGTTGATTATTTATGTAATCACTCCCCAACCATGTTCAGTCACAGGATCAAATTTACCTGAAAATCTGTAATAATACATTTTTTTTCTTGAACTAAATTAAATTATCCTAATTAGGAAGTGTGCGCAGTTTTCATAGCAGGCACAGGCAGGTGGGAGGTAGAAGCCTTCATTTGTGCAGAAATGAAACAGATTTGTTGCACGCCTGTCTCCCTGCAACTCCACTTTGGCACACTGTTTTTATCACGTGTGTGCCAGGACACCTAACTGCCAGCACAAGTTTGACCAACTGACCTTGCCTCCTTCCTTGCCCTTCTCCCTGACCTCCCGGGGCATAACCTAGGGTCTACCATGATGTGTTTCCTCCTGCAATTCCTTTCCAGCCTGGTTGTCAATGCAATCTGTGTGAATGCGCAGAGATACTGCTGCTTCTGCTACAGCTCCCTAAAACTGCAAGAATATTAAAAAATAAGCGGTTCTGAATGTGTGACCACAGTGGCCATTCATGCTGCAGTATGCAGATGGTTCAGTCCCTATAGAGCATCACCAGGTGACTGCAAGTGCATCTGCAGTGGCTGCAGAACAGGCCTCTCCTCTTACGCAAGTCTGATACCCACACAGAAGAGAGTACTGGCTGACAAGACTGATGTAGAAAGAAAACATTAAAGTCAACTGTAATTAGTCATTTATATTTGCACTGGGTGTTTCCATTTCTGGTATGTGGAACTTCTTTATACAGCTCTTACAGAGAAAGGATGAGAGAAAGATTCTGATAAGTGAAACTTTGCGCTTCTGATTTAGACCATATCAGTAACACTAATGAAACCTGAGCCAGGATACCAGAACTAAACTCACAACTACACCAAGCATCAGCAGACCTATTAAGTGTCATAATGATCTTACGACAAAATAAAAACAGAATTTATGGATTAAAAAATAATACAACAAATATATCTTTTCTTGGTAACGTGACTTGGGTGATCTCCAAACAGAATATGTGAGCATTAATGTATTAAAGCCTTAAAAAACCTGAGGGATGGGAACATTTACACTGATCACACACCATTTACACCACAGTTATATATTTCCTTGAAATTTAAGTTACAACTCAGGACACCAGCCTGTAACATAAGGAGATAACAGTGAAGTTGCTGAAATGCTTATCATTATACCAAAGACACAGGACCAAATTCACCCTTATTCCTTGGATGTCCATACATTGTTGCTTGTAACATACAGAGCTCCATACCTATGGAGGTTTCTCCCTCTTTTATACATACCAGCTTTTGTCCTGACAGGACTTCCAGTAGCGCCATCAAGATTTTGCCATCTTGTATATCAATAAACAAGTCTTTCACTTTCAGAGGAGGCTTGCACTGTGAAGAAAAGAAACCAGATATAGCTTCTAAAGCAGTACTGCTTGGTACGTCACCATGATTTCAGAGAGTAAGAAGGAGAACTGTACAAGACAGAGATACTAGAAGTAAATCTTAGCCTGCAGGAAGAAAGGGCCGACTTTTCTTCACATCAGTGGCAATTCCATCCTAAGAATGCCTGAGCTAAAACTGAGATATAGTACTCATGTAATTGAGATCAGACAAGGACTTATTCCAGATTTCCCCTAACAGAATCTCACCTTAAATACTCTGCCTAGGAAGCAACCACCCAAGGGTTGGGTGCTGATCCCTCAGACTAAAGCAAGTCCAGCAGAAACAAATCCCACTTTATGCCTGAAATAAGCCCAAGATCCAGCCAGCCCAATGTTCTGTCTCCTCTGTAAGGTTTCTGGTGGTGCCATTCTGTTTCCCACTATTTTTGAAGTACTTTAAATAGCAGCTTCTTGTATTGTGTCTCTCTCTTCTCAGCAAACTCCTCCAAAGGCAACCATCTCCTCACTTCACCAAGGTGTCTGATGATGTCTGCTGTGAGGCACGCAGCCAAGTCAGCTCAGCGCTTAGGGGTAGTCTCAGCTGCAGCAATTACTCTCTGTTCAGGTGTCACTCACTCACGTGTCCCTAAAGAGCCAAATCTTTTTATCTTTGGTTGGGCAATGCACTACTGTTTGATTAAGCACTGCTTCTGGCAAACTGGGACCATACATTTTTGTTACTAGTCTTTAATCTAGCCAAGAGTACTAAACAATGCTCCATACTGAAAGAAACAAAAGTATCATTCATTTCAAGATTAAATAACCTATCTGAAAGCCTCAAACCCAAACCTATTTTTTTTTTTCATGACTTAAGACAAGAACCACCAGAACTCAGAAGATGCAGACTACTCCCAACTATCCCATCAGTAGCCAAGAGTACTAAACAATGCTCCATACTGAAAGAAACAAAAGTATCATTCATTTCAAGATAAATAACCTATCTGAAAGCCTCAAACCCAAACCTATTTTTTTTTTTCATGACTTAAGACAAGAACCACCAGAACTCAGAAGATGCAGACTACTCCCAACTATCCCATCAGTGGCATTTCCATTTCTGACCAGCAGAGGCAGCTCCTTACAAAAGATGACCCAAATGGGATGGTCTGCTCCAAAAGGGGACACACCACACCCTAAGTTTCCTGAAGAAGTACAAGAAGACGACTTCACTGCTGCCCTTAAAAGAATGAAGCCGCTCTGCAAGAAGTGCTTCTTTGAGGATAAAGGCAGAAGCCACCTTTCTCAGTGGTTGTCCTTGGGGAATCACCTGTAATTAGAGAGAGTTTTAGTGAAGCTCTCATTATTTACAGGGATATGTTTATTTTGCCACTTCCAGGAAAAACATTAACACAGAGGCAGATTTTTGCCCTTTCTTCAGAAAAGCATTTTTCTTTGTTGAATCAGAGAGGAAAAAAAATTTGTATGCTCTCCAGAGAAAACAGTTCACCTGCCCACAAAGTTTCTAAGACTTCATATGCTTGGCACAGCAGAATTAACAGCACCCTACAGCCTTTTTCATGATCTAATTCCTTCTGTAAATCAAAGACCTCCTCTACAGTCATGTATTTGACAACGCTTTTTGACAACTTCCAAAATTGCAGTTAGTTTAAAGCCCTAGAGTCTCGTTCACGAAGGAATCATGTAACACTGTCTTTGTTCTGAGAGACCTTTGGGAGCAATTGCTAGTCAAAACATTTCCAACTAGCCTTATTCTGATTTTCCAGTGAGATTTAAGAGGATCCCTTTATTCCTTAGGCAACACTCATTGCAGAGCAGTGGACTTAAGCAACTATATATGTGATGTCTGTCTTCTAAAACCCCTTTGCTTTACTATGTCTGAAATGCAATCACTTTCCAAGAACTACAGGAGCTAGACTAAGAGTCAGCTTGTAGCCCAAAGTTAGTCCCAATCTGTACTTTATGAAATTTAGCCACAGATACTAAAAGCACTGTGAAGCCCGAACTCCAGTCCAAGTTAGGACTGTTGGCCTAGGTTAGGAAGCTGGTCTCATTCCTTGATCCTACACTTAGCATTGCTGCTGTCTCTAATATTAAGGATTTTTTTTCTCCTTTCATCCTCAACAGCACTTATCTACTATCAATAAGAACAGTAAATTAGGTTTAATAGCCAAATTATGGTGTGATTAAGAAACAATTACATCTTAAAAATATAAAGTGATGTATATAAAGTGGATATAAATATATATATAAAAAAATATAAAGTGGGTATGTAAAGATCCCATCATATAGCCCCCCCCAAACATGACTGACAGGGAATTAATGTTTCCCATCTGCAGCTCTGGGATGAAGCCAGGTTCTGAAGAACATCTGTCTTTGGCCATGATGCCTCAGATGTTCAGACTTCCAGTCCAGGGAAGAACATCAGAATCATCACCTCAGAGCAGCCTAAACCACATTTGATTTTATGTGGGTACGTTCTGTGGGAAAATTCTAGCCTCATGGTAACAGTCAGTAGCATTAAAGACTTAAATGCACCTGAGATGAACTAAAGCCAGCCAAGCATTCATTGTGCCTGAAAAGCAATTTTCATTTACCCAGAAACTTGCTTTCACCTTCCCCTCATTCTCCTCCAAACCTCCCCACAGGAACAGAAGTCAACTTTTGTTTCCAAATTTTAATTACTTTAAAATGACTTAACTGCAGTCTGTCTATGGTTGTGTCCTTGTATCTCAATATCAAGACTGTTTGTCAGTCTTACCTTTCCCAAATGTAGGTTTATCCATCTGGTGAAGGTCCTCTTCTGTACATTTTCCCGTTCCACTAGAATATCAGAAACAAAAACCAGCACTTAAGTTTCCAGAAGAAGGAAAGCTGGTAGGAAATTTCAAAAACCGATGCACAAAAACGTCAGAATTCTTGAGAGCCCTATGAATAAAGCAAATGTATTCCAAATCTGGAGATATAAGGTTAAGCTACAGTGTTTTATTCAATTTCTTTGCCCAGATATGAGGTATATGCTTGTAGATGCATTCTAAAGGATGCAGCAAGAAGTCTCTCTCTTAGTTTTGCAGTCTTCAGCTTTTGAGAGGTGAACATTTATGTGTTGTGCGCAGCTCTCCAGTGATGTTAGACTCTGAGCAGGTAGCTTGACCCTTCTATGTCAATTTATAGGATTATTACTGTGACACCCACATGCAAATTGGGCTAGCGCGGATTCCAATGTACTTACTTGCACACACAAGGAAACAGGACTGCATTAGCCAACACAACAATTTTGTCTTCATTCTTATGAATGGAAAAGCCTCATCAAATCTCATCTTCCCAATCTCCTAACTAGTGCATTTAAAATCAAAATTCCAAGCCCCTACATTGAAGAATCATTTTATTTATATTGCAATAAGATCAGGAGTGCTTGTTCTTTGCCACAAGTGCTGTATGCTAGGTGCTGTATAAACAGCTCTTGGGCCAGCTGAAGCGTTTTTAATCACATCTGCCATTTCCTGAATCCGTTTCCATAGTGAACTACAGCAAAAGTGTAAGGGGCATCATATTACTGACCAACTTCCATTTACCTTCTAATGTAAAAAAGTAAACCATATATTTAATATAAATGAAGTAGACTGACAAAGTAATATTTCATTTTAGAGACAATTATTCTCAAGTGGTTCTCAAATTTCACTTGAATTAAGGAAATCTGGCAATTTATGAACAAAAACCATTAAAACTAGTTATATGCTGTATTTCAATTTACTCATAGAGCATATCAAATATATTTTAAAACCATTTTGTGTTTCTTCAGCCCTACAAAAATAGCTAACCTATCTACTGGGAAATCACATTCTGTAGAAGTCTGGTTTGTTTTTATTGGTCAGACTAATTGTAGGCTAAGTAGTAGCTTCTGTAAATCAAATTTTAATATTGTTCTTTTTGATCATTTTAACTGAAGGGTCTGCAGCCTCTAATCATATGTATAATTGTTTTCCTTATTTTGATGTATTGGACTAGAGCTTTCAGCATGAATTACATCTGTCATTGATGGCCATTCAGGCCTTTTAAGTCCTCTTATTCCTGTAAAACCTGATTTTATGTAAGATTGGTTAAAAAAAGTCATTACCCCTTAAATGCTTCAGAAAACATGGAAAATGCCAAACTAATTATTGCTGTTGGCTTTTCTTTTAAAATATCTTAGAAGAATGTGCACAGATTTGAAACAGCTCTCTACAAATGAAACTGTAAATTATATTAGGGTTCCAGAATATCTGTAAAAAACCCACAGCATTTACCACCTACAAATCTCAAAGTACAATAAACGAACAGACGTGTCACATCTTTCTTGGGCTTCGCTTCCTTCAGCACCTCGACCCCAGGACTGGCTTTCCATGTGCTCACACATCCACGGCTGAGTGGCAGAAGTGCTATGTGTCACCTAGGGTGTAACTGCCACAATCGATCTGTTAAAATTAACTTTTGAGGGTGGGTGGAGGTTAATGTTAAGCCAGATCTGTTCCCAGATACACTTTGTTTTGTTCAAATACATGTGTTGGTGGTGCAAAGGGGAAGGCAGAACGGGTGCAGGAGTTAGCAGCAAGGCCACCTCTCTCTTAAGCTTGTCTGAAATGCTCAGAAATGCTCAGATGGGCAGTGCCAGGTTTCGGGGAGGACAGGAGACACTATCAAATGGCCTGGCTCTACAGACTTCCAATGTCAACTAAAATCAACGAGGAAACATGGAAGGGTACACAGAAGCGAACAATGTTTTCTGATTTCATCAGAGGCTTGGTTTCTTGGTTTTGAGTCCTATTTTTCACCAGTCACTTTGGCAACCTTCATTTTCAGGGTAAATAAGGATGCAAAAGAGAGCTGTGTTTATTTACAGATCATCCATAAAACTGAGCACACATTGGCTCCTAATTTTGCTGCAGAGATTCTGCCATCGATGCAAATGAGAGTTGCACATATGCCTGAAAGGATGGGCGAGCCAAGCTGGTATTACTGCTTCCTTCCGGAAGCTCACACACCAAAAAAAATCCAGGCACATTCAGGAAAGCACTGGCATATATACAGAGGCTTCTGACACCACTCAGTGAACGTTTCTACAGCGAACAGACTCGTACCAGTAAGAACGATGACCCCAGAATGGACACTATTTGATTCTGTAATAGTCTAAAGCAATAGTAACTGGATGGGGAAGAGGAAAGGGGAGGAAATGTGTTTATAAAATCCCTAAGGCAGACAGACCCCTAATGCAGTCCATATGCTCGACGGTGGAGTTAATGGGAAAAGTTCAGCACAGGTATTTACTGATGTGTGCCTTTAACTGTTATTCTTCTCCAGCTTTGTGGACCTCCCAGTTTCAGTACAACCCCTCTTCTCCACAACGTTTTCATTTGAGATGATTGTAGAGACTCTATAAACTTTATACAGTTTCTATAAATTAAATGGAATCTTTTTTTCTCCTTCGCACCTACTATTGTATAACAGTGAAGAAAATCATTCAAGTCTAAAGTTCCTATGCTGATGTATATAGTTTACTGAAACTGCACTGGGTTTACTGGGCAGCTAGAGAGCAATAACACCATTATAAAATAATAATTACACACACCATATGGCTGGCCTGCACACAAATCCTATGCTGGAAAAGAAGGATGCCTGCTGTGAGGGTTGGATTCAAAGATGTAATGCTGGAGGGTAGTAAAAAGTTAGAAATTGCCATTTTGGTTCAGCTCAGCTCAGACTTTGACATAAGAGAAAAAAATATAAAAAGAAATTTTGACCACCTAGCTAGGTCTTCCATACTCTTCCAATAAGCTCAGCTGCAACATGCTTTCACAGTAGGGTCTACGGTGTTGCAGAGACACAGTATTCACATCAAAGTACACAGGTAAGGCACCGACGGGCATTAGCTGCAATAATTTAGAGGGGAAAAAACCCCTAGAGAAGGAAAAAGTGTACTGGTAGGATGATGAGCCTATTTTAACACATGCACTTCTTTGCCCCACAACTGTGTTCTAGAGGACAGCAGAATTTGGCTCAGACACAATATCTGCACCCTAGTCAGTTTGCAAATAAACATTGACAAAGATATATATTCTGGTTTGTCAAATCTTATGGTAAAGGCAACTAATTTATCACAGAGTAAAACTAAGCTAGTTCAAAAACCACTTGGGCAAATTCAAGGTTAAGCTGCTATGGACGAGAAAGTTCAGCTGCTTCCCTTTGTGGCACTATTTCCTTCCCCACCAGCCCAGAAATTCCTCAGGCATTTACTGCTAATGCCATTTCTTCCTCCTTCAGATCTTCTCAAAGGTCACTACCACTGCAATACCTACAAGAAGCCAATCCCCTAACAGCCTCTATGGTCAATAACAAATTGGAGATAACAACTATTGATTTGTTTTTAAATACTATTTATTCTGTTGTTGTAGAACCAGTTATGAATAATCCTCTGAGGCACACCACCACAGGGCTGGGCACATGAGGGCACTATGAAACGTGGAAGCTGATTTGAGTGGAACACTTGTCAGTGTGTAATTACCTAGCTTCAGAAAACTGCTTGATATGCGTGTATGGGTATTACTCCCAAAGCAAAGCAGAAGGTCACTTAAATTTGTTTCCAAAGCTATTAGCATTTCATCCAGGATATCATCATCAGATGATGTTAACACCTTCACAACAGGCCAAGCCGGCTTTTAGATCCACTTGCAGCTTACCTTCAAGACATCTTGTTAAATACTAGTTTTATAATATGAACAAAAGCCAGCTTCCTCGTTTCCACCACAGGTTATAACCTCTATAGATACAAGATATACCTGTTATTAACATGAAGCAAGTTTTCAAGACAGAAATGGTGGTGTTGGCCACCTGACTGTGAAAGAGGATGCTTTGACTGCCCTTGGCTTCAGAAGCAATAACCTGCCAGGAGAATCATCCCATATTCACTTCATCAGTAACCCGTGGCCACCACAGAACCAGCTCATAACCTGTGTGGCTCTGGAGGTATTTGAGCATCTGCCAAAGTCTTTGGCCACCATGAGAAAACTGCACTTCTTATTAAACAACAAAAATATACGGGCAAATGTATGATATTCAAATACTACAGCCTAACTCCAAAATGAAACATGTGGCTCAGACACCCTAAGTCTTGGGAAATGCGAATTCCTCTCCTTCTGCCTTCCTCACCCCAAAACCCCAGCTCATACAGCCAAGCAATCAATCAGTCTCTAAAGAACACATATTGAACATTTTGAACTACTCAAACTCCAGGCCACTAAAGAAAACGAGAACTGGATTTTAAACTGGGCTTCACGGTGTTCCTACACTGACTCAGCCTGGGTATTTCCGATTATTAATAGTCATCATACTATCAAGTTGGAATACTGTTTTCTCTGCAAACTTAATGTTCATGAAGGAAGCCAGACTGGTATCTTAGAAAATGGATTTTTACCTAAAATTGTTAATTTGCTGCCCACAATATTCCAAGCTTGTGCTACTATGTCTCAAACACTGAAGCATGTGCTTCGAGACATGAAAGCTCATGTTGTTTTTACACATCATGATGAAGTTGGAAGCAATACCATTAGCTAAAGAGAACTTCTTGGGCTTTTGTTCTAATTAGGTGATTGTATGTTTGCATAGACCCAGACTGATGGCACTGAGTAACCAGGTTGAATTTTGGTGTCAAACCAGCAAAAAGAGCATGATGTCTGACTAAGATCTGCCTCTTCTGTATACAATGCAGTAGGGACATGTGAATCCTAGCATGCTGTTCTATCCTTTTTGCCTATATAGATGCAAGTAATAGCATATGCCATATAAGCACATTAGTTACAATAAGCAGTCAGACATTAGATAGAGGATATTGATGTTAGGTACAGGATATCGACAGCTGTAAGGAAGCACAGATCCTGGTCCAGGAGACCTTTTGCTGTTCAAGCACAACATGTGGGACAAAGTTCAGAGGCAAAGACAGAAGACAGGGCACATGCAAGCAACACATCTGACATGGGAACGGTGATTAGAGGTGAGCTGTAACAAAAAAAAAGGGGGGGGGGGAGAAAGGGAGACGGGGGGGTAGCAACGGACAGCAAAATAAATGGAGAATTTAAGATGAAATGTGTAAAAGTAGGGCAGGAAAAAGTGCAATTAAATTTTCTACTTTTGCTTCACCTCAACACAGAGTTACATTAAACACATTGAACTATGAACCCTCAGAGACTTAATCTCTGTTATATATTTTTAGAAGAGGCTGAAAATATAGCTCACAACATAAGGCAACACGTAGGAAAACACATTCCTCTCAAGTCTATATGGTGCGGTCCAGCTACATTGCTCAGTGAGTACTCCGTACTTACAAGAAAATCCCCATATTTGTACGAGTGTGAATTTTAATGGCATAATCAAAGAATAAGAAAAAAATTTATCCAAATTGCCCACAAAATTCCTTTTATAAGCTTTTGAATTCCTGGGCATTGTTTATTTTCCTTGTGCTTAAGAAACCTCCAAACAGCTTAGAAGATTAATATAAATTTTCTTTTTGATCTATACAGGGGTTGAAGGCTTTGTTGTGTACCAAATGCCAATTTGATGTAATTTGGAACACATGAAATATTAAATCTTAAAAACTCTGGTTTTCTAAAGGAAACATTAACAACACTATATAACATGAGACTGTTCTCAAGTTACCTCCTATGAAATAGGGCCTCTAAGCCTTCCAGATGAAGTTGTTAAGTTAATTGTTTGTTGAAACTGACCCATTTATTAGGGTCCTTATTAAATTTCTATGGCAGGTGTTGAAAGCTTGAGGCTTTTTCATTCCATTAAAGTTGCAGAGTCTGAGTCTTACTCGTTCAAAATTCTTTAAAACTCTGGGTTGGTGCTGCAGAACACAAACATCGCAGGATCACAGGCATTACATTTTCATTAGCTGCAGCTGAACAGGTTTCTTTTGGAGTTCAGTGTCTGGTTATAGCAAAATATTTACTGCTGCAATTGGTATATTAGGATTACATACACCAGACAAATATTGCAGGATGAATATGAGATT